TCCTATTTGTCAAAGTCAAAAAATTAAATTGTTAATGAAATCTTTTTAAGGAAAAATAATATTTCGAATTATTTATATTGCTTTTTACTTCAGCAACGTTGAAGTACAAAAGTAAATGTGTTCTCTTAAATATTTTGTGGTAATGCATAGTATCCAATATTGATTTCGTAAATTGCGACGTCTTATTTTTAACATCATTTGATTGAGAAGTGATAAAATGACTTCAATTTTCGATCAACTGGAACAAGCTTCGCAAATTTCACAAAGGGCGGAACCAGTATCTGAACCTATGACGTCGTCTGGATATATAACAATGCAAATGGAAGATAACACGCCCATGTTCTCAAAGCAGAAAATGAACTTCAATCCATCAGATCTCATCACTCATGTTGCTGTAGCTAGCGACTATCTAGTACTTGCTATGGCCAATGGGAAACTTTTTCGATTGGATTTAAAAGTGCCTGATCAGCATGAAGGTCTGAATATCATTCAAAAATAATCAAAGTACTATCTACCTCTCCCATCCCTATCTTTTATGTTTAAGTCCATAAGTTATTATTATACAGCTAGCTTTCGCCCGCGACTTCGTCCGCGTGGAATTAAAAAAAAATATGCCAAATTTAATCAAGATTAGTTCAACTGTTTAGGCTACAAACTTTAACAAACATCCATCCATCCATCCATCTAAACTTTTGTATTTATAATATTAGTAAGATTGTTTTAACATGGTTGTAAATCAGTAACAAATAAAATAATATGGGTCTTTAATTTTGTCACAATATATTGATTTCAGAAATCCACTATGCGAAATTTGTACAAGCCAACACAAAGCTTTCTAACATATTTCTGGACCCTCTTGGACAACATTTACTTTTGGCTTTTGCTGCAAGAAACAAAGAAGGGTATCCAGAACTTATTTATCTGCATCGATCTCGAAGCAAACCCAAATCTGTCAGCAAATCAAAGAATTATGAAGTAACCGAAGTTGGCTGGAATTATGAGAATAATTCTGTCGCTACTACAGGACCAATACTGCTGGGAACATCACATGGACTTTTACTTGAAACTGAATTGGAAGCAGATAATGATAAAATGTTTTCTGGTAGTCAGTATTGGAGACAAGTATGTATAGTGCAATTAAATTTTATTGTAGCTTGCAATTTTTATGCTAAACTCGGCAGTGGGAATTGATTTTTGAAGCCATATATGACTTGCTCGAATGCTTCATTCTTACGAACTTGAAGTGTAATATTAATTTTTGGTCTGTGCACGATGTTAATGTTTTTAATGAGTTTTTTCTTTTAAATTATGTGATCTGTAGATCTATACTTATTGATTGTTTTTTCTATGCAAGCTGCCCAATTACTTACCTCTTTATGGAGGCAAGGAAGTTGATGGATTGGTAATATTTTTCAATTTATTGTTTAGAATTATTCAAATTTTCTTTAGAGTTAGCTACAAATTGGAAACTATGTTTAATAAGGTTTTACTTCTGATTTATTTTTAGATTTTCGATATTGGTAAAGGTGCAGATACACCAATAACTGGGATTCAATTTAATAGAATCAACAATACATCAAAATATTACATATTTGTAACAACACCAACAAGACTGTATCAGTTTATTGGCAATGCAGTAATCACTGATAATAAGCCATCCCTTCAGTCATTATTCTATACATATCTGACCACAACGGAGACAGGGTTCCAGGAGATTCCATCCACATTGAAATACTCTAAGCTACAATTTTACTTTGACAAAGATAATACACCAAAGACATTTGCATGGTTGACGGAACCAGGAATATTCTATGGACAGGTTAGTTTTAGAATTTATTTAGTGTGCTTGAAATTGGTAACTAGAAAATTCTACTTAAAATTATTATTTACAGTTAGATCCATCTTCCCAACAAAATTCCAACTCACTTTTCACTCAAGGTGAGCTGATAAATTATCCAGTAGAAAAAGTAGATACAAAAGACCTTGTCACTGAGAAAGTTGATGCATCCGAAAAGACGCCGTTGGCTTTTGTATTAACTGAATTCCATGCAATTCTTATGTTCTCTGACAAAGTTAAGGTAGTTTCTCTTTTAAACCAAGAACTTGTGTACCAAGACACTTATTCGGATGCTCATGGAAAATTAAAAAATGTCGTCAAAGATCCGGCTCGAAGGACCATTTGGGCGGTCACCGATAAAGCCGTCTTTAGATACAAAGTGATTCGCGAAGAAAGAAATGTATGGAGAATTTATACAGATAAGGAAGAATTTGATTTAGCGAAACAGTATTGTCACAACAATCCAGCGTTTATAGACATTATAAACGTGAAACAAGCAGAATTACTCTTCTCCAGGGGTGAATATGAGAAAAGTGTCGAAATATTTGCAGAGACTCAATGCAGTTTTGAAACTGTATGTCTCAAATTTTTAGAAGTCAATCAAACGAATGCTCTTAAATTTTATTTAGCCAAACGACTAGATGCTCTAAATGAAGACGATAAGACATTGATTTCAATGATCGTAATTTGGATGACGGAGTTATATCTGTCTCAACTTGCATACTTACGACGGAAGGGGAAAGAGGATTCGGATGAATACTGTCGGATACAGAGCGACTTTGAAATGTTTCTCTTGCAACCTAAAGTGATGAACTGCATGCATCACGTAAAGTCGGTGATATACGATCTTATGGCTTCTTACGGTGATAAACATAATCTGATCAAATTGACAATAATCAATGAAGATTACGAGAATGTTATAGAACAGAACATTTATAAGAAATCCTATTTAGAGGCTTTGAAGATCTTGCAGGGGTTACGAAGGCCAGATTTGTACTATCAGTTCGCGCCGATGCTTATGGAGGCCGCGCCAAAACACACCGTCGATTCTCTCATCTCTCAAGGTCCTAGTCTTGCACCTTCGAAACTGTTGCCGGCTTTCCTTGGTTGTGAGAATGATGATAAGCATGTAGAAGAAATAATAAGATATTTAGAGTATATAGTGCAGAACTTTAACGGGAAGGATAAGGCAATTCATAACTATTTATTAACATTGTACGCTGAGAGGAACAAGCCAGCGTTGATGCGGTATCTATCTAGACAGGGGCAGAGTTTGGAAATGGTTAATTTTGATGTACATTATGCTTTGAGGTGAGTCATTCTTTCTATGTGTAATGTTGAACTTACAAGTGTGTTACATTTATATCTACAATAATATAATAAAGTGTAAACACACACTTTGTTATGTAGGAAGTCAGCGATCACAGTATATTTTTTAATAATCACTTATTCAATAAATAGCCCTACACTTTTCACATGCTATAGTCTACACATTTTATCGTTATTAAACTAAGGGGGTGTGTAAATTGAAAAAATATATATATATATATATTGATAGACTGGACATAGGGAATAACATTTTTTCACAGGTAACTTCTTTTTACGGTAATATCTAAATGTCAAATTTAATACTCCGAGACTCATCTCAGTGTTTGAATTATTTGTTTGTAATTTTGACTATCTATTTGAGATTTCATGCAAAATGTTTCTAGTGTGTCAACTATGCTTCCTCTATATATTTTTGAATCTTAATGAGATGAAGTTTTTATAGTATCCAGTGACTTATGTGTTACAGGGTCTGTCGCGAGAAGAACGTGCCGGAAGCGTGTGTGAAGCTGTCTGCGCTGCTGGGGCTGTGGGAGGCGGCGGTGGGGCGCGCGCTGGACGTGGACGTGGCGCTGGCCAAGAGCGTGGCCGCCATGCCCGAGGACACGGAGATGCAGCGCACGCTATGGCTCACTATAGGTACAGTCGGGGAAAATGTTAGTGTTCCATCTCAAAAGCTACAATCGTTTCAACATTTATAAAACGAAGAACTAAAGCTAATACAACGCTTGATGTATGTGTACAAAGAAAAACGTTAGTGATACAGGGATAGTTTCTTTTTATTATTATCCCTTCATTTACACTCACTGTTATCTATTTTAGGAAGACGCAAGGTATATCTTGTTGCAACAAACAAGGAAAGTTTTCCTAAAGTAGAATACCGTGTATTTCCGTGACTGTACTGTCGGAAATACACTTAAAGAAATCCTTTGCATCTTACACAACTCCACCTTTTCTGATAAATTATCAATTAGGTAGCAGTTGCGGAAAACAAGATAGAAAATTAGCCGTGTTCTACTGACCTACATTTTCGCATAGATATTAAAGGTTGCGAATTATTATTGTTCCACGTCGTCTCAGTGTAAAACAAAATATTAATATTTGAATGTTAACTCACCACCAGATTCCCTAATTGTACTTACAAATAAGTTCCTTGTAAAGAAGTAAAAAGCAATAAAAACGACTCTTTTTTTTCAGCTGAACATGTTATAACAAAAAACCAAGACTTAAAGGAAGCAATGAGCCTATTACAAGAATGTCCTCTCATCAAAATTGAAGACATCCTGCCGTTCTTCAGCGATGTAGTCACTATAGACCATTTCAGGGAACCTATTTGTCAGTCGCTTCAAGTAAGGAAACTCTTAAACAAGAAACTAATCTATTTCTGTACTATTGTAGTTAGTAGCTTTTTTATATTTCTGTATATTTTAGGAGTATAATACACAAATAGAAGACCTGAAAGCGGAGATGGAGGAAGCAACTAAGTCTGCGGAATGTGTGAGTAAATATAGTATTTACTTATGTCTTTGTTCTCTTGATTGTAATTTTCTTCTGATCACTGTTATAAAAGTAAATAATAATACATGTACTTACATAGTGACATACACACAACATATGTTTTACATAGTGTTGAAGAGCATGAAGGAGCGTGCTATGAGGAGGGATGAATCACATGTAACAAGAAGGAAGTTAATAATGAGTTAGTAAGCTTGCGGGAAAGGTGACATGATCAAGAAGATGATGACTGAGGTGATGGATGATAGTTGGAGGAGGAAAACCTGACGTGCTGACCCTACGGGAATAGGATAAAGTTGGGGAGATTGAAGATAGTGTTGAATATAAAATACCATGAGGTGATTGAAGGGGCCCATCTTCCTTTCATTCGTTGAAGTGGTGTGACGGTGTTATGTTGTAGGTGCGCGGCGAGATCCAGTCGTTCCGCAACCGCAGCGTGGTGGTGTCGGTGTCGGACACGTGCTGCGCCTGCGAGCTGGCGCTGCTGCTGCGCCCCTTCTACCTGTTCCCCTGCGCGCACCGCTTCCACGCCGACTGCCTGCTCGCTGAGATACACCACACCCTCAGTCAGTGTCTATTTACTGCTTCCTGTTCCCTGCGCGCTACGTTTTATCCTACACCACGAAGTAGTGTGTGTTCATGCTTTTTAGTATAGAGTATAGATTAACAAGGCTTACTGAACAAAAATCTACTTATCATTGTCTGATATATGACCAGATTGAAATGTCGATGTGATCAGGTCCAGCTCGCCGCAACAAGCTGAGCGATCTGCAGCGGCGGCTGGCGGTGCTGAGCGGCGCCGAGCTGTCCGCCGCCACCGCCAGCGGGCTGCCGCTCCGCGAGCTCATACGCAACGAGATAGACGACATCGTGGCCAGCGAGTGCATCTTCTGCGGGGAGTACATGATCGCGTGCATCGACAAACCTTTCATCGCTGATGAAGATTGGGATAGAGTTATGAAGGAATGGGAATAAATCTTACGTCTTACTAATATTGTCCCTTGAATGCGTGATTTTTCCAAACATTCCGGAAAAATCATATTGATTGAAAGATCGGTATTATATAAAGGAAAAATCATATTGATTGAAAGATCGGTATTATATAAAGGAAAAATCATATTGATTGAAAGATCGGTATTATATAAAGGAAAAATAAAAAAACTCGCACCCAAATTTATATATTTTTTTTATGTTGTAATTATAAAACAGTGCTCATTTAAAGGTTAAAAATGCGAAAGTTCGGTGGATGTTTGTTAGAGCTTGTAACCTAAACTGCCGAACGGATCTCCGTTAAATTTGGCATAGATATAAAACATAGTGTAGAAGAACACACAGGCTACTTTTTTTTATTCCACACGGACGAAGTCGCGGGCGAAATCTCGTTATTGTTACCCGGTGTTTAAAGATTACCAATTCATATGGACATTGCCAACGTCAACGGAAACCTCTGTCCCAAAATGTTCTTGCATTATAGTGGCATAGACAATGTTAAAAAAAAAAACTAAATGGTAGTATTTCTTGAACAAATTACCGAATTAAAGACTGATTTGTTGGATTTTGAATAATAAAAAAATATTTAATTGTATACTCTGAAATATCTCTTAATTTTTGTATGATTTAATATTGTCTGTTTGGTATGTTTATAAGTTTTAACCAAAATATAGTTTTTTTTTATTCATCTTATTGAAGAGAAAAATGGGAAGTTTGATGTGTACTTTTCTATTATTGTATTAATTTATTTGTATCAACAATGTGATCTATTATAAGTGCTTATTTATATTTTAGCAAAATTATCATTAGGATGTAAGTGATGATGAATAAAGAATTATGAATATCTAATTATTGTTTCAATAACTAGTTTTATTTCAATCCACCAGGTGTCCGGGAAAGACGTGTACAATGGACTATCACAGATTCCTTGGTCGAAAATATGACCCAAAGTACCTCTATTCAAAGTTGCATCGTTTGGGCGCTAGAGGGATCTAATGTTGCTAATTATTTTACAATCATCTAAATATCTCGAAAAGCCTTTGACAGATTTTATTTAAAGCAACCGCAAGTGACAATAAAACACATTAGTTGTTTGATATATGTTTATTGAGAAATTTGTGTTATCAAGAACTGATCAACAATAAATTAATAAATATTAGGATTTAGGTGAGAGACCATTTTAAATCCTAAGGACGTCGTCCTTTACACGAAGTACGGTGTTAAAAACTTAAAATTTACAAACATAAACAGTGATACATGTCAACACCTCGTTATTAGACACAAAGAATTAACACGAAGAAGGAAAAGGCGATTGTAGGCACCGTGCGACTCCGCCCTGGCTGTGTATCTACAACAAACAATTCACTAAAGCAAACTATATTTATTGACTAGCGACTGCATTGTCCACCTCCATCGACTGCGGCTCCGTCTTGTCGCCTTTGCCGTCCACCTGCATCGATTCTAATTTATCTTCTTTCTTCTGTTCCACAATCACATCCGCAACATCTTTCGTTTCCTCTACTTTATTCTCTTTCTGTTCCGTGCTATCCCCCTTTTTATCTTCTTCCTGTTTAACTTCAGGTTTATTATCCTTCTTTTCAACATTTACATCCTTAATACTATCGTTTGTTGCGTCCTTCTTATCCTTACTTTTATCTCGTTTCTTTATATTTTTGGTACCCTTCTTGGGGCTTTTCTTTTCATTTTCTATGTTTTCGTTTTGTTTTTGTTCGTCGGGTCTGATTTCAGGAGTTTTTTCCTTGATTTGTTCCTCGGGTCGCGTATCCGCAATCTGTGGCTGGGCAACTTCCGTGCTCTCTGAAGCTTGCTCTGTTTTGGCTTCTTGCATCTTTTCATCTTTTGGTTGTTCGTCCTTAACCTCCTGGTCTTTAACCTCCTCCTGTTTGATTTCTTCTTTCGGTTTTTCAGGATTTTCCTCCACGACTTGAGGTTCAGTAGAAGATTGCTCCTTGCTCATGTCCTTCATTTCGACCTCACCATTCTCAACAGTTTTGTTGGCATTTTCTGTATTCTGACTCTCGGAGGTCTCCATTTCTACATCTTGTTGTTTAGCCGCGTTACTACCTTTTTCAGCCTTGGCTTCTAATACAGCTATGCACTTTTGAATACATCTAATGGCCTCCTTCCTCGCCTGCCTTATGTTCTCCTTACCTTCAGTTTCAATATTGTCTAATTTTATGAGATTCCTAGTGAGCATCTCATCTAGATATAGGTACTTTTTGTCTTTCTTTGTACCTGTGAAATTTTCAACATCAGACATCAGATTTAGTACATCAGTTTGTATGGCGAGAATTTGTGTTTTGGGGTCATTGGCCGGGGGCGGCTGTGGCTTGGTCTGCGGCGGCGGGGTGTGCTGGTGCGGCGGCTGTGAGGGCTGCGCGGGAGGCGTGGACTGTCGCGGAGGCTGCTTCTGCTGTGCTCTGGACGGAGTTTCAGCTCTAGGCGCAGTTTGCTCGTGGTGAACCGGCACCTTAACGTAATGCTCCTCCGGGGGCATCTGTGGTTTGGGTGATTGAGATCTGTGCGGGGAAGCGCCACGAGTGAACGCCGTCTGAGGATATACTTTTTGTTGGACGAACGGTTGCGGTCCCTGTCGGAAACCTTTGTTAAATGGTGTGCCGAAAGCCCTAGAAAAGTTAGGCGGAGCGTGAAAATTAACAGGGCCGTCGTCGGCGAAGTATTGGTCTCTGTCAATGTGCGGCTGCGGCGGCGGCGCGTATGCGGGCTTCGTGTCGCCGAAGTTTGTCGCATGGTCTACTGACTTATTTATGACGGGCTCATCTCTGCCTTCGACGAAAATAGGTATGTGCCGCACGTTGGACTGCTGCTCAGAGTGTGGATTGTGGCTCTGCTCCTGGTGGTTCTGTCCACTCATTTTGTTTGCGTTACTTAAACCGGTCGTGCGATTATCAGGAGGTGCTGACATCGACCTTTGGGTCCGATCCTCCTCATCAACTAAACTAGGGTCTGCGGGGCTTTTCTGTCCGAGATCTACTGTGTTCCTGAGTCCGTACTGTGGGAGGTGGCTGTGTTGGTCGTCTTGTGCGGGGTGTGCTGTGTGATCGTCGTGTGCGGAAGGTCCCGGCGGGCACTCAGTCTGCGTGGAGGCGCTCTGCTGCTGCGGAGACTGGGGCTGCGGAGATTGCGGGGGCGGTGGCTCCTCGCGTGGACCGAACCTGCGGTTCCAATGTGAAGGAAAATGCTCTCTGAACTCCGACGGGATATCGTCGAACGGAAATCTATCGAAGCCGCTGAAGTCGTCGAAATCTGTAACAAGAAATCATTTTTATCAAACTTAAAACTGACAAACACTACCAGGAGGGTCTACTAATAACGTTTTCATAAAAAAGTAAATAACAACTTCCAGGATAATTTCGGTCTATAAAAAATCTTTACAGAAAACGTTAATTTGAGCAGCGGTACTGTGTCGTATAGAGACAGGATACTAACCGTCAGTGGCGTCCTGGCTGGAGGGGCGGCGCTTCCTGGCCCAGGTGGCGGGGCGCTGGCGCAGGCGCGCCGCTATGTCGGGGTGGCGCGACGCGAGCTCGCTCCACGCGCCCGAACCCTCCTCCTCATCAAACGGAAAGCCGCGCTGCTGGAACACAACGTCACTGTTATTAATACACTGATATAACGTTACCCTTAGGAAAAAAATACTTAATGGAATCTATATTATCATCATAAATTCTCGATCATTTGTAATTGAGATAAGTACACACGATTCAGAAATATGTTTAATGGGATTAACAAGTAAATTTCAACAGTCTATATTTTTTTAACAATAGCAAGATTGAGATTGCATTAAATTGGCTTTAAGTATGAAATGACATTGATAAAATTATTAATACGTACAAAGTCGAACAAGATAATAAATTACACGTGTCTTGCAAACCAATTTCTCATCATTTAACCAGTAGCGACGATTATCGCCCCAATACGGTAATTGCATATGCAATTATTCACCAATTCACTACTTAAGTGCTTAACATTTTGTAAAGTAACATTCAAGAGAAATTGGTATTACAGTAATCGTCAGTCATTTCCTCGGCTTTCAACAATTAAGAATAAATGTAATTAACCGGAAGGATTGCAATGGTATTATGCTTAAAAGAAATTCGTACATAAAATATGGACTGAACTCTATATCAATATAGACATTATTATTATCGGCTTAAGATCTACAATCACTTGTATACGACATACAACATAAAATGTAATATAGTGTTTGAGTCGTGTTTGCAGCGCGAAGATCTGACCATATACGGACCATATAAGGACGGTCGTGGAATGACCTTTATGGAGTTCTTTTCATTTTCTCAAGAGACTGCACTTGTAGTATTTTATCATTACTGATTTAGAAGAGAACTTCGACCTACAGATAACAGCTTGCCACATTCTGCGTTTTCAATTAAAAAGTTTTAATTTCACCAACATTGGTAGTGCCCGCTTTAACATCTTAGCACTGCAGGGCCGGCACGCCCGTTGTAGTACCTCGACAACACAGAAGACAGGCGTGAAATGGAAGCAATTCCGTGTTTCGTCTGATGAGTGTGGTGCCGGAGGCCTAATTTAAGTCACATTCTCTTTACCACCCTTTTCTTATAAGGAGAGGATGGGAAAGGGAATGGGAAGTGGATTTGACGGTGGAGGAGATGCATAGGAAGAGGAAATATCTTCTTTATGTGCCTCTCCTCGCCGTCGGATAAGGGTAGGCAACGCATCTGCAATTGCGGATGTCTATGGGCATCGTTTGCTACGCCATTTTGGCGGATTCAGGTGGCCGCTTGCTCGTTTGCCACCTTATGTTATAAAAAAAAACATATTTTTGCAAGCTTGAATACATAAGGAGTTATTGTATAAGAAGGAGAACTGTCTTTTATTATTATCGCACATCCTGAACCGCATCTTGCGTCAATAAGCCGGATCTCAACATTCAGTTGCACTTTCACTTGTTAACACATGTTATTTGACGAAAAATTTCATTTCTAATAAAATACGAATAACGAAAGTGCATATTCCGAGATGTTTATATAAAATCTTGGCGTTGTAAAAGTTTATAAACACGTAAAATACATATTCACAGCACAACCAATACAAATAAATTAGCGGATTTAAAAAATTGGACTTAAAAGCAAGAACTCTATGGAATATGTTTCGCCTCCGAGTTTCAATAGATTTTTTGATCCTTAGTGTATATTTAAAATGAGAAGTCTATTAAATAAGTGATCATTAAACTCGGTTTACGTCCTAGCTATGTATCAATAACTAGCCATAAAGCATCCCATGCATATGTTGCAATTCCGCATGGCATTTACATACAGGAGGGGCCGGGTATTACTTTGTCGTCAATCACAACCGAGCCCCTACATTGTGTTCTGTTGCCTAGTTACAAAAAGTAAATGATGCAGAAAATTGTAGACATCAATACTAAACACATAAACATACAATTAAGACACATCTATCTAAATATATAATAAAATGGAGTGTCTGTAATATCAAAAGAAAAATCCAGATTTCGGGAAGATGATGTATTTGTATTGGTGAAAACGAAAATCGCATTTAAAAAATTTTAGTCTGTCTGTCCGTTCGCAAGCCGCGTTTGTTCCGGGTCATCTCCGCATGGGCAAATTTAATGTTACTACTACAATTAATGTCAAAATGGCATAACAGTGGTCCAAATTTGCGCTAACGAAGTTTGCGGGCGAAAGCTCGTCTACTATAAAACTATTGCAAGTTTCAGAAATCTTTTGTCTCTCCAAATGTAACATTAAAGCGGAAGATGTTTTTATATGCGAGAGCGAAATTTATTTCTACTTTAAAAGTACCTCATAAGCACCTTGAAGTAACAAAGGGTGGGCGTGAAGCAAGGCCGTATGTTGACAAGATTAAGGACTAAGCCTCTCACCCTGGCGTCTTAAAAATATCATGCAGACATAAAGCCGTTACAACAGAATTAAACCTCCTACAATATCAGTCAAGGCTCGTTACTTTGTTTGTATGTTTTTTTTTTTATGTAGAGGCTTATCAAACGAATTTAGAAAATCTTTCACCGTTAGAAGGGTAATTTATCTGTGAGTAACATAGGCTACTTTTTTAATTATTTTTTAATTTCACGCAAACGAAGTCGCGAGCAACAGCTCAGATAAAGATAGAATACCCAGTGGATTACGCATTGATCAGTTTCTGCTAACTTAATAAAGTTCTTACATGTAGACAGTGTTTTCTTTTAATTTCTTTCTATTGATTGTATAGATGTCGCTGATTGTCACGTTTTGCGGCACGTGTGAACTTCACGCCATTACTCTCCGCGCACGCTCCCCGGCCACACGTCTCCTCCGTCATGACGCAAGCCCTCAGCTGATGTCCTCACTACCCACACCGCGATGACATCATAGTACTGATTTATAAACTATATGATTGTATACAATTAAAATAATATTTTGGCACCGGTTTTACAAGTAAGGACTTTTTGTTGATCGAACTTTTTTGCGCAACGACTGATTTTTTATATAACGCGTCTAGTGGTTTTGTAATATTGATAGTTTTTGTCATCCAAACCGGTTTCATTATTTGTAAAGTCTGTCATTTCGATACCATTAAGAGTATGATATATATTATGTTCTTGCTGGTTATCAGCTCCTAGTACATTCGTACCATTTAAGAAGATGAAATGTAATCGACAATACAGTCCAAATATACAGACAGTATATGTCAAAATACAAGACGCAACACTTGTATTGTTTCCACACTCGATAGATATAATAAACGTTTACTAATACATAATCAATAAACAAGAACATGTACACTGCTGCAAAATCATATATTTAAATTGTTTCGTCTTTCAGTAATACCTCATCATATTTATTAAAACAATACTGCATCGAATAACAACATGACCCCATTGAATTGCGAACGATGAATAAATAAACTCTTGCTTAATTAATGTGTTGTGATTTATTCTTCTAAGAGGTCAACGACCCTATATTTACTTTAAAAGCTGACAACAAAACTAAGCGTAACTGGCGAGTGTATAAAATTTTATTAAATTATTGGAAAGCAAATTTAGAATAATATAAACAAATATATAAACTTTATATCAATACTATCACTAAACATTCAAAGTTCCTAAAATCCTAGATCTTTATATCCGATTGACTCTAATAGTTTGCGTCAGTAAGTAAAAATCAAATTCGTTGTAATATCGGAGTTATCAAAAGGCAAAAGTTACCAAAGTCAAAACACTTCTGATAAACAGAAACTTCAGTGGGGGCATGAAGTCATCTCTTTAGAAAAATAAAGCTGTTTATATTGATGGTTTGCGACCGAGGCGGCGCGGCGCTTATCTCCTTCCCGACAAGGCCAAGGGACGACGATAAACTAAATGCATCCAATGACCCACATTACGGTACTCTGACTCATTAGAAATGTCTGTCCCTATTTGGAATGCGATCTTCCGGTGATCATTGATTGACAAATAGTGCATTAGTGTGCAAAAAGCAATCTTTTTATATTTAATTGAATTAAAGTTTTACTTTTTATTACTGGTTGGTTTTTATTGTATACTTCTTAATAAAAAAAATAGTATTAAAACAAATATCAATTTCATTTCTTATATTTCAATTAGTAAACGTTGCCAATTTGAGTACCAATGGTCACTTTGTGTCGATTGATATTTTCACGCTCTTCCTTCAAAAATCGAGATTCAATTGTTTCCTTACAGGTAGCAATTTTTTTTTTAAATTACTACTTATTGTAGGTGGTAAGTGACGCATTGACTGGTTGTTGTTGGGACCGCTTTTGTATCCATGTTCGTCGGAGTCTATGTTTCGTAGAGATGACATCATTTCTTGCATATTTACAGTGTCGAGGATTCGTCGAGAGCGTTCGTTATTTGTATAACAAAACCGTGAACTTGAACGGCACGACAAATACATCAACTAGTAAGATGTATCATATATCTTACTATTTACTTTAATATTATAAATATAAAAGATTTATATGTATGGATGATCACATGTAACACTAGAACAAAATCGCATCGTGTACAGAATTAATATTTAGTTCCATGCTAACAAGTCTAATCCATATATGTTTATACTAGCTTTCGACCGTGAGTCCGTCTGCGTGGAATGAAAAAAAACAAAAGTGAGTAGCCTATGTGTTTTTCCAGATTATCCTCTACATCTACAGCAAATTTAATCGATATCCGTTCAGTCGTTTAGGATTCAAACTCTAACAAACATCTATCCATCTAAACTTTCACAATTATATTAGTATGATGAATTTTGTTAGGAAAATATGGACATTAATACCACTTATACACCCACGACAATGTCAACAAAACACTGAATTGTTTTTCAATAAAAGTTTCTAGATCATAATTAAAGACTAAACGAAACTAATTAAAGAAACAAAGTGACTAACATATCCGAGGCCAGAAGCAAGGAAATTAGACGAAAAAGGCCTCCGAAAAACTGCCAAAGATAAAAATATTGTAAAAAGTATTTCCGGTTGGTACAAGGGCGGAACTAGATGACAATGGAGCCTAGACCTACTTAAATTTAACATCTACTAATTTCCTTGATGACATTTGAATTATTCAGACTCGCGGGAACCACTACCATCAATGGAGACAGGTCGGAATAAGTGCTGTGTCTACTTATCCAGAAACGGTTACTTTGCCGATAACATAAATTGTAACCGATTTATATTATTGGCTATTTCGGATAACACTTAAAACATCCGCATTTCCGTATAGATGTGGTCAAGTTGTGCAAGCAGGAGGCTATCAAACCGCATTTAGACCGGGCCACTCTACAGATAAAACGCAGACGCGGGGCTCTGGCCGCATATCACGACTCTATAAATCGCTACAGGCATGCGGACGTCGCTCATATCGCTCACTCCTCTCAGTAGAGATAACTGAGAGTAGAAACATTAAGGAGGATGTAGCAATAATTTAAGAAACCTGGAATCCATGCTGTAGCAACCTCTGTGGTGGTCCCAAGAGTGTTAACGAAATTAACCGACATTGAATAAAAAATAGAGCTTGAAAGCAAATGTCAACTATTTTTACAATCAAGACAAACAACTGGCCTTAGTATTATAAGACTATTGCGGGGAGTTTTATGTTCCTTCTTGACAATCACGTTATGATGATTTTACAGAATTGAAATATGCCCAAGTTGCTGCACTGTTTAACATGCAATTATGAAAAAGACAGTATTGTTTGGTTGACAATAGATTAATAATGTTAAAATAACCCCACATAGCACTCACAAAAACATAGCAGTTTTAGTACTAGCTAGAACTTTCCTTTGTTAAAGTTGTATTCTCTTGAAGAGTTTAATAAAACATACAAAGAATTGCGACATCGAGTCATTCTGTTTTCTTTTATGCGAAGTCAGCGGTCTCCTACGCAAACCACGTCAGATACACGACTTAGTTAAGTGCAAGACTATAAATGGACTTTTGATTAATAAATGACTCACGAAAATAAATTATCGAGACTTGTTTGCTTACACGTTCATATTATGTAAGGATTGTTATTATATCAAAATATTATATGCTTACTGGATAAAACGGATGACAATTTGTATTTATCTGAGTAAACAACGTGAATTTCATTAATATAATATGGACATACCTATATAAAAAAAGTAAATCTTTTACAAAATGACATAAAACCTTACTCTCTCGTTACGTTACAATTTTGTTTATTACATACACAAATTTGTATTTAAAAATCTAAATTATAAACATAATCAAATAGTAATTTGTCCACAATAAATTAATTAAAGTTCGCAAAGTTTTTTCCACGTTTCAGGAACATACTGAATATATACAACTGACAAAATACCTGGTTATTTTTGGCAGCTCTTCCATGATATTCCGGTGGCTTATCCACAACAACGGGAGATTCCATATTTCATTCAATATTTACTTAAAAAACTAAATCTATCACAGATGCACTTCACTTCGATACGTAAATAAAATATCAACGTATTATACAACCTTCTGCAGCGTGGTTTGAACAATACTGAAGCGGCCGCGGCATGCCACTTTATTTATACGCGAGAATGAAAATGTTCGCGAATGTTCTAGACGTTTCGAGAGCTTCTCGGCTGTAGCTACTGGGGTTCGTCCCACACTCCCCTTCCAACAAACGTTTTGAATATATTGCGCGATACAATGGCGGTTCACAATATAGACGCAGTTTATTAGAAAATGTTTCAGCCAGTAATGCATAAAAAAAATACAGCGCATGCGCGAACCTTTCTGGAAGTTTCGAGAAGCGGTAAAAACGGTATACAGCCCTCAAAAGTGCATGCGGAAAGGAGTTCAATGGTCTTATTACAAAAAGCCCTTTCGGCATTCGAGACACGTCGACAAAGCTCGTTCCGATGCATTTTTGTAAAAACGCAACGATCGCAGAAACTTTTTGCACTTCGATACAAGACATTAATCGATTACACCGATGATTTTTTGCAAACAAAAACCGTACAAACAATTATTTTTCGGCAGCCAGGTGTGAATCATTTTGTACTTTATTTACATTGTTGACAAGACAATGCCATTGTATCGTATTCGAGTATTTACCAATTCTTTCCTTAATAATAAAAGTTTCATCGTACCGTATAAGCGATGGGGCAACATTTATATTTCCATTAATCAGCTGCGTACATAAGCAACTAGTAGCAATTTAAATAATCAAATAAACAATGTTAAACGTAGCAATTAAATAAGTATACATTTTTATATATACACATATCTGTTAATTAACGCAAAATAAATTTTAATGCTATTTATAACATCATTAATGTCATGTTTAAATTGTAACTTGAAGTATTCTTTGTAGAATCGCTTAATAAATTTAAAAAAAAATCGGACATCATGAAATAAACAAAATACATATGATTTTTTTAAAGTGGACATCCTAGCGTAGTCTTTATTCAAACTTATTGTAATAATATCTAAAGTATTAAATTCAGTTTCGGTCTGTTGATTGTCACTTTACGTTCACACACACTTATGTCATTTGATATTCATCAAGAATCAAGGATTCCTTTCAATCGTATAAAGTAAAACAATGAAGATAAATATAATAGATAGATTATATTGGGAATATGCAAACTTGGCGTTTTAACATATTTTAAGACAAAAATAAAAATCCATAACTTCAGCCGTAATAAAAAAAAACTTTGCAAGTATTTTTCAGATTTCATTTTTTATACTAGCAACATTGTGTACAAAACAACTAGAGTGAAACCATCGGGAAATATGTTATTGCAGACATGTGTGTTCGTTTACGAGAGCAAAGCTCTTAGCTTGCATCAATCATTATAATGGAATTACTTATTACTGACCGCCCACAAACTGTGCGTTAAGCACAACATGTGCCGATAGCGAAATGTGCATACAATTTTATTTTGCTGTACTTGTAACAAAATTCCTACATTATTAGGAGAAACGTTGCGTTGTTCTTTTATGTGAGCAAAAAAAATGAGTGAAGAGAGAAAAAGTAGCAACTAATGATTTACTAATAAAAGACGTTAGTTGTTATTGGTCCTTCGAGCATCACATTATGCGGGTTTTTATTTACATTTAGCGTACACTTAAATGGTCAATAGATTTCAAAGAGTAGAGTTTGAATAATGCGTAATACAAAAAAATAAAAGAAATATAACAAGAATAACACAAAGATATTAATTATGACAAAGTACAGCTTATTACAGCTAGGGGCGGCGGCGGCGGCGATGCGGCGCGTCTGCGGGGCGCCGGTTTATCTCGCATGTGCAAGTGCAACAGTATTTCTGCTTTATTACAACTGCTGTAAATTAATTTAATAATAACTTCCTGTCTATTATATTGATACAAGATTATCGACATAAGTTACAATTTAAAACGGGTTAGGTTGGTTATTTAAAATGAATATTACAAACTCGTAACGATTTGTACGAGTAAACCACATTAATACCGGAAAGAACATAATCTATAGTTGTTTTTCACTTAAAACCGAATTATTTTTGGATTAACGTCAAGATATCACTATGATGTTCTAAAATGCTTATCTGACAAAAGATTAGGGAACAGTTTGCTGTGACACAAGAGAACAAAACAATTTAATCTATACTTATATTAAAAAGATGTAAGATATGTACTTACTCGTATTATATATTTGATTGACGAAAAATTACTGGGCCGATTTTAAAAATTCTTTCACCATTAGAAAGTTAATTTATCTGTGAGTAATAAAGGCTAAATTCATTTAATTCACGCGGACGAAGTCGCAAGATAGTACTTAATATATAAAAAGAAGCAAGTTAAATCATTGTAGACATGAAATCTTCTGGAAGAAAAGATTAATAAAGCAATTATACCTACCCTTTTATAGCTAAAAATTATTTATTACGATTAAGTTACTTCGTAAGCATCACGTAATCGAAATATTTATTAAGGGAAGCATTCAAACTGTGCTGACAAATTAGGCGACATTGATAACGTAAGGCCTATGAATGACCCTTACAATTATAATGGACGCGGAACTCGAGAGGAATATCAATAAGGTTTTACATTAACGGCACGACTTGAATGAAAATGAATGCAATTTGTGAATGAATTGAATATAACAATCATACTAGCGCGTTTTATAAATTGTATTACAATCTCCTTTCCCAATATATGGAAACAACTGAAATGAAGGTAGAGATTGTTATTAACTTCATCCTCCCTAACATATACAACCATAGAAATTAAAGATCAGTCCATTTCTGGAAATAGGCCTTCATTATTAGTACCCTATGAATACGTCTTCGTAATCCTTCTCAGGAAAATAAATAAGAAGTCTCTCAATGGTCTGTATTCCTCATCAATCTATCTTTTAGATGCTTCAACAAGTAATTTCTTGAATTGAAAAAAGTTAGAATGTAGATAATGATGTACAGTATTAACAATTTTTCTACCACAGTTAGTATCGATAACCAAAGATGCCAAAGGGGGTTTGAATGTGATTATTAAAAGTGATTTACTTAAGATGTCTTTTGACGTCATAAATTCGAAATAAATTTCCAGGCAGCATTTTTTCATAATTAAAATTTAATATTTTTCAATTAACAACATTTTGTGTTCGACGAAGTGCTAATATTTTATCTATTAATTTTAATTATTATATCGACATTTGACGCCGTAAGATTAATCGTTAGCTAATGCATTAAAATGTATAATATTTATATTTACGAAGATGTAAGAATATGAGGACTTTATATGTCGTATGTCCCATCTGTGCGTCAATTTTGAGTGGGAACAAATTATTTGTAGCTTTTAAGTTTCACAAACGTTTATTTTCGTATCTGATCCACTTCAGGTGCATGACGAAAGTCTATTGAGCATTGCAGAAACATCCTTAAATTATAACAAAAGTAACAGTAAAAACATTTGTAAAAAATGCCAAAAGAAATTCCATAGTTCCTATCAACACTTGTAGGTTCAACTCAAGGGCCTATTCATATTACGTTTATGTTATTGTTTTATTACATTTAAATGAAATGAAAGTAGCCCTGTTCACAAACAAACCACTGGAAATACTTCAGGGTTAAATTAAACTATAAACAAGTAAACTGGGGCGCGAGAACACGTAGGTGGCATACGACTGTTGCGAATACCACAACTGCACTGCGCATTTAGTAACATTCAAAACAATTAAAACCCAAACAAAATACTTACACAGATTACAAAAATACTTTAGAAAATAAAACACATCTTAGTTTCGACATCAATTGTAAAATGTGTAAACAAAACATTAGCTAGCAACACTGACTACAGATAATAAAATAATAAGACCAGTACTCACGTTACGCTTCATTTCAAACTGTCATTGTCGTACCACTATTATTGTGCAATAAATGAAATTAATAATTCGGTTATCAAATTTGTTGCGTTAGACTCCAGCGCAGTCGACTACACGCTCACTTTTGCACGTATCGAGTATAACGGGTGTGGGTGAGACGAATCACAGAAATAGAACTTTTGGAATAACTCTATACAAATTATATTCATTGCGTCACCGACGGTGCTAAGATCAAGAGCGGACAAGCGGCAGCATTGCGCGTCTATCATATACGTTGTTTTTCTTTCTCCATTGCTATTAAATTTGGCGTATGACGCGAATTAGGACAGCGCTTATAATCGTCATTTGATAAGATTATATACAACGTGGATGAAAACAAAATGTTTCAACCAAGCATATCTCGACAAAAGAGTCGTAAACATCTTAATGATTTTTTTAATTCAACATTTAAATAAAATTACACCCAAGTTTCACGACTTAATAATGTTGTACATGAGAAATATTTAAAACAATAATATAGTTAAAGGTACAAAAACGAACGAGCGATATCTCTTAAAGGAAACGATTTAACATTCAGTTTCGTACTTAAACCGTACATTTGTCAATACCACTACCGCTCAGTGGGCAAGCCGCGCCGTACATGGGGTTGCTTTATGATGCAAATATGATAATAAAAGTTCAATACGGTATAACAAATACGACAGTGAGTTATTGGACAGTTTATCGTTGCATTACAAGTCGCTGCCCAAGGCCAACTATTATAATTGTTGACGTAATGTTACCGTTTAAAGTTTTTTATATTCGCCCATGCAAATATTATTCAGAATATAAAGACGTAAAAAAAACAGTGGAGATCTACCAATGAAGTGATAATATCAGATACAGACCATAAAAAACGGTATAAATTTCTTCGTAGTTAACAGTAGAAGGGAAGTCCTTGGACAGCCCACGGTTGAATATTGAATCATTAGCGCCCACGCGACGCGGCAAATCACTACTCACCTATACCGATACCAACTGCAATTGCAGCGTAGTTACCTTCAGGGCTGTTACTATCGATTTAACTATTACAGCTTACTAGCTTTCGCCCGCGACTCCGTCCGCGTGGAAATAAAAGAAATACAAAAGGATGAAATCTATGTGTTCTTTCAGATAGCCCTCTACCGAAACCATGAAAAATTTCATCTAGATCCGTTCAGCAG